CTCGAACTGAGACTGGGTGAATGCAAGGCTCATATCTGCCAGGTGCACATCTCAAGAAAATTAAACATGGGTGGGATATGACTCCAATAAAACAGAGAAAAATTCCAGTGTGTGCTTGTAGATTAGGGTGGAATAGGAGCTCTTCTGTCGGTGGTCCTCACAAGCGGCCACTTTTTGCCAGCTCTAACCAGGCTGAGGGAAGTGTCTCTGACCTTGGCTGTTACTGAACGAGGCTTTGAGGACTACCTCCGTAGCAGATCCCCAGGGGTTCATGGAAAGCCTCCATCATCCCTGGGATTTCCAGGGTCCCCACATCCTTCTTTTCTTTTCCTTTAAAATTGGGGAGAAGCAGGAGACCTGGAACTCTATTGGTCAAGCTCAGCCTATTCCACCAACTACCATTTACACTCTGCGCCATCACATGGGCCCCCAGATGCCCAGCACCCAATCACAGCAGACTCCATAAACATTCTTCCTGCTTCCAGAGGATGGGGGAGGGGGGGCGCGGGGGCATCTAGCTCATTTTTCATTTCAGAACTGCTGCCACAACTCCCGGAAGCAACTTCTTGCAACATTGAGAATGGAACTCCTCAATCCAAGTGGTGCTGATTCTTAAATGACCTTTCATTCAACAACCAGGTACTGAAGGCTGAGTCTCAGAGGCACAGCCATTAGGAGCATCTGAAGAATCAAAGTGGAACAGGTCATATGCTTGGAGATAAGAAAAACCAACCAGTAATGACACCCCAAAGCAGAGTAATGCAAATCCAAAGTTCTTGGAGGGATCAAAGGAAAGCATGTCCTCCAGCAGGGTTCAAAAAGGAGAAGGGAAAAGCCCTGGCCAGGTAGGTCAGTTGGTTAGGGTGTCATCCCAAAACACCAAGGTTGTAGGTTCGATCCCCAGTCGGGACATATTCAAGAGTCAGCCAATGAATGCATTAATGAGTAGACCAACAAAATCAATAAATGAAACCAATAAATAAAATCTCTCTAATTGGAAGAGATCAAAGAACTTGTATGCATATATGCATAACCCATGGACACAGACAATAGGATGGTGAAGGCCTGAGGCGGGCAGGCGGGCTAGAAAGGGTCAATGAGGGGAAAAGAGGACATATGTAATACTTTAAACAATAAAGATTTAATTTAAAAAGAAAATCTCTCTCTAAAATCAATAAATTTTTTTAAAGGAAGGGAAAGGTGTTTGAGATGGAGAGCGTAATGTGAACAAAAAGTTAAGGCAGAGGGAGCATGCAAGATGTGTTCAGACATGTAATCAAAAATGCACAATAATCCTTTGCATTTTAATAGGTTTTATATTTTCAAAGTGTTTCCACATTATGTCATTTCATTCCAGTCCTAAGGCACTCCTGAATCCCATAAATACTCTCCTCACTCATGGGTCACTTCTGGTGTCATTCACGGCTGAGAATGCAGAGCAAATCATTCAAAACACTCATTCATTCAAAACATTCACTGAATCTATGCCAAGAACCAACGGAGAAACAACAGTATATAAAAGATACCTTTTGTCTTGAGGGAGATTTTTCTAGTCCTCTCCTAGCCTTCCCTTATTGGGTCACCCTAATCCCCAACAAACTCTGTCCTTTCGGGGCTGACAAGGCCTGCCCAAACCTCATCCTCGAAAACACAAAGCTAGCAATCATAGAGCCCATGCAGGTGCCTAAGTCTGCCACTCACTCACTGTGTGGCCTGAATCTGTGCCTCAGTCTGCTCCTCTATAAAAGGAGCATAGCCCTACCGGTTTGGCTCAGTGGACAGAGTGTCGGCCTGCAGACTGAAGGGTCCTCATTTCGATTCCCGTCAAGGGCACATGCCGGGGTTCTGGGCTCAATCCCCAGTAGGGGGCGTGCAGGAGGCAGCTGGTCAATGATTCTCTCTCATCGTTGATGTTTCTATCTCTCTCTCCCGCTCCCTTCCTCTCTGAAATCAATAAAAATATTTTTTTTAAAATAAATAAAAGCATAGGAAAGCTCCTTTGTTAGACTCTAGACATTTTATGATTAGATGAGATCTTGCAATATTTTAAAGCTGAAGTCCTACTTCGTGGCCTAGAGTCGATTAGAAGATCTGCCCTGCCTACTTGGAAAATGGTAATTTAATGATAAGCAGATCCCTGGCATCAGTTGTCAATAGGGCCAAAGCCTTCAGAAGTCAATTTCTCCCCAAAACCCCACTTGATTCGAGTTATGAACATACAGCACAGTGATCAAGAGTAGTTCATGGGCAAGAGCAGTCCCTATCACTAAGCCTAAATCAAATACAAATGACCCTGAAAGATATTCAGAGACCAAATAGCTGAACCACATTATCACAGCTGTTACTTGTTACCAAAGATAGTATCCCATCGTAATTGTCACACTTTCCCCTATCTCTGCTTTAAAGCTCTCTGCCGTTTTTTTATCCAGGTGCTTCTATGGCTTTCAAGCACCGGGGAAAACTTACAACTCAAAATTTAAAAAAAAAAAAAAAAAAAGTGTGGCATTCATATGGTCCCCTTCAATGTAAGCTGTTTGCTAACTATCGCCCCTAAAATCCTTGAGGTTAAGCACCTGAGAGAGGGGACGACAGAGAGGCTGAGGCTGAACTGGGGATCAGAAGCCCCTCAGTCTACAATATATTGGCCGTGTGGCCTTGGCAATCAGTCACTTAACTTCTCTCCTACCTCATCTTTAAAATGGAAATAATAATAATAGCACCTACCTTATAGGGCTGTTGTGAGAAACGAAAGGATACACTATCTCTATTGCTAGTTTTATTCCTTGTGGTATTGCCTCTGGCCCAGTGTTTGCACAATACAGAGGAAATCAACAACAGTTTTTGATTGAATGAGTGACTAGCCAGGGCTAGGCAACCTGAAGCTGGGATATCTATGGAACACGGTCTCCAAGGAGTTTCAGGAAATTTCATTTGAAAATGATATGCTGTGTAGCCTTGCAGAAAACTAATTCCATAAGCAAAGATAAGCAGCCTAGGTAATCTTGCTGATAAGTAATCCTAAACTGCCCATTCAATAAAAAAATTTTTAAAAAAAAACAGCTGAAAAGGTTTGCAAGTTACAGGGGAGCGATGGAGAAAGGGGGTGCGTTCTTTTAATTTTTAACATATATTTTTATTGTTGATAGTATTATAGATGTCTCCCATTTCCCCTCTTGACTCCCATTGGGGCGCATTTTAAATAAAAGTAGCCACGCAGCCCTGACCGATTTCGCTCAGTGGATAGAGCTTCGGCCTGCGGACTGAAGGGTCTCAGGTTCTATTCCGGTCAAAGGCATGTACCTTGGTTGCGGGCACATCACCAATAGGGGGTGTCAGGAGGCAACTGATCCATGTTTCTCTCATCATCGATGTTTCTAACTATCCCTCTCCCTTCCTCTCTGTAAAAAAATCAATAAAATATATTTTTAAAAATAAAAGTAGCCACGCAAGCCCCACCTGTCCGAATAGAGCCTGTCCTTACGAGACTCCCTAAAACAGATCTCGGAAGGACTGCCCAGCATCACAGGGCGAATAAAGGACGCCTGCACTCGTAAACAAGTCGTGCCTTTAAAGCGAGACATACCAAGCAAGGACGCAGCAGCCTGCAGAGCTCTGAGTGGCAGCAGCGTGACCTCGCCCAACCCCACCGCCACCGCTACCGCCCCTGCCCGCCACCTAAACTGCCACGGGCGGGCGTGCGCCCGGGACCGCTATTTATAACCTTCGCCCGAAGCCCATTGGCACGGGCTGCACAATGTCATTCCGCCCG